AAGCAAGGATTTCCCAACCAAGTCTCTCCTTCAGTAGATCACCACCGGATCCGAGACCAGTTCTAGGCTCTCGACTTCTCTGCCATTATGTGTGGTAGCGTAGTGCTTGTACGTGTAAGTGTAAGGGATAGGACAAGGAAGAGGAAGACAAGATCGGGCTCGGTACGTGACCCATCTGTTAGGGTACTGCTCCGACATTCGTCTGGTGTTGATCGGAGAAACCACGGAAAACTACCGATCACGCCAGGCGGCCGCTAGAATTCTCCTTCAGCCAGCCGCTGAATGCGACTTAGCTATTGCTTGAAATCCAGCTACTAGCGTCGGGACTCGAACCTAGGACCACCCAGTCAGAGGCACTGCAGCGAAGCATGAGCCACCTCCCCCGGCGGCTGAATCCGACCTGGCTACGTAACGAGTGTCGAAAGCTCGCCCCTGCCGCACTCGACCGCCAGGGCCTTCGGGCCAGCGCCGCTGCAGAGCCAACGCCCGCGCTGTCTCGGAGCGAAGGCAGCGGTTGCGCCGTCCAGAAGGGCGCGCGGGCCCACCGCGCCGCGCGCGCGCGCGCTATTCCTGGCCCAGTGCACGGCGCCGCGCTCCTCGCCCGCGCCCGCGCCCGCGCCCGCCGCCTCTGTTGTCTAATCTTAGCGCGAGGGCGATTGTCCGGCCTGGTTGGCTCCGTCGCCGCCGTCCCCGTCGCCTCCGCCACACCCACCCCCGGTGGGGCTACTGGCTGTGCCGCCGCCGCCGCTGCCAAATTTCAGCCATCGCCCCTTTTTTTTATTAGAATACAATATTTGTTATGATGCTTAGGGGTACACATAACTATTTCCAGGGGTAGCGTTTTCCAAATGCACGAAGTCCAAACAAGCATTACAATAATTATTTTATTTTTTACTGATACGTTATTGCTTGTATTTACTAGGCTGTCCGGGTGACGCCGCGTCCATGGCGAAGGTGCCGACGTTTCGGTCGCCGCGTTATTGCTTGTTATTGACTGCGAAGTTCTATATACACTGCTTAACGTATCTGCATCGCGAGGATTGTCGATACGAAGGAAACATGAAAACAATTCAATAATGCTGTATATTCTCATATGGAGGGAATTATGAGTGGTAATTATGATATAGAATTATGAGAGGGAAATATGAAAAGACAAACTGAGACAAATTAACATACACTTCATTAGAAAATAAGTAAATCTGAATTGTTAAAATTGGGTTAAAAAATAAAATCTTGTAAGTACCACGGGCGTTAAATGTTTCTAATCTCGGGTGACAAAACTTCCTCTACACAAATGCCCTCGAGCTTTCTGTCACCGTTCAATCATAAGAACCCCTATATCGGCCTTGATCCATAAATAACTATTATTATGCTACTTAAGAGTACATACTAGAATATTATGCAACTAGTTTATAACGCTAAGCTTTATTTCATGCGTACATGTTTTGAAAAGAAACGACGTTAGGAGCGAATTACCCTTCTAATATCTTCGTTTGCCTCTCTTTAAATTTTGAATCCTAAAAAAGAAATCTCTCAACAACTTTTTTACTTTATGGTTTCCGTTCCTTAAAATTAAGTCTTGTGTTTTTCTCTCATTCCTCATAAAAGTTTTAACATATTTATTTTCAAGCCCCATTATTAAAATTACATAACTATTTAACACAATTTTACAGAATTAATCATCTATCCTAACATTGACATAAAATAATGATTTTAAAATAAATTACATAAAATAATAATTAATTTTAATGTAAAGTATTCTTACTGTATTCTTTAAAATTACTATATATTTAATCTAATTTTAAAATTTTTGTCAATCTGTGGGAATGTCTCTAGCATTTCTGCAGGGAATTTGTTCCAATTTGTACTGTTCAGTTCCCAAATGAAAGTTAACCTATATTAGTGTAATTTTGTGCCGGATTTTCAACCATGATCCTTCCCTGCAACTTATGTCGACTTTAGTAATCGTACTCGCATTCCGACCATGGACGATTATCTCTTACTGATTTGAGTAACGCAATAAGTCGTGATTTCTCCCGGCGTTTTTCCAAAGATTCCTAGGGCACAAATCCATAATTAGGGCGTGATGTCTTACTATTGTTAGAATCTTTCCTTCTTTAAATATTTATTTGCTACATGTTCAATTGCATTACACTTTTTCGGGGAGTTGAATATATTAAAAAAGTAGAGGCAAGATGCCAGCATTTAATTGTTTGATAAATAGTTTAATAAATTGCTATTACTAACAGTAATGAAAGGCGAAAATATAATCATGAAAGGCGAAAATATAAATAACGGGAACGAAAAATATGTTTAAGAAAACGTGATAGGATTTGAGGATGAGGAAAATTGTTTTAACCCAATGTAAAGTTTTGGAAAAAAGTGAAGTTATAATTCGTTATATCGATTTTATGTGAAATTGAGAATAAATGACTTGAAAGAATTAATTTTAAGTTCTCTGTGAATTTATTTATTTGACATAAACCAAGGAACGTGTACAATTTTGCAAAGGAATTTGAAATACTAATGCCAAAGTCTATATGCAGCCTCAGCGAGTCGTCGTACCTATCAATAAGAATCCGTTCGTATTGCTGTTGCTGCTAGTGCCCCCGCCGCCACCAAAGGTGTTGTTATCCCTTCTGGCACAGTCTCTGCCGATACAATAAGTAAACCCTTCGCAGCCACCCCTCCGCTCGCGATTCTGCGGAACTGTCAATAGTAATGCCCTGTTGATGTCGCCGCTGTTGCTACCACCATCGCCCTCGCTTAGATGGCTCTGGCCTTCAAGTGATGCCACTACCGCGCCATCGAACGCAGGTCATAAAGTTCGAGTCCCAACACAGTCAGGACTTTCGACGCTAGCTAGATAGCTGGGTCGAGTTCAGTTGCTGTCTGGAGGGGAATTCCAGCGACCGGCTGCTCTGTTCGGTAGTTTTCCGAGGTTTCTCTTGTCAACACCCGGCTAATTCCGGTGCAGTATCCTAACAAACGGGCCACGGACCGCGCGCGATCTTTCCCACCTCTTCCTCGCCTCAACCTTACCCCTTACATTTACACACATGCCCACATGCCCACATGCCGGCAGAGCCTACAGCATGTTCCATCTAAGGCGGTGCCCAGCTGGTGGGAGATACCTGGTAGTAGAAAACCCCGCTAGCCGACGAGTAGGTAGGCGCCAGTTCCATCGTCAACACCCCCGCCGCCGTACCCACTATCACCACCAGCACCACTACATCTGCCACCGCCACCGCCGTCCTCCTTCCACTGCCACACACGCCCCACCTCCGCCCAGCGTTAGACGAGCGCGGCCGCCGACCCTTTTTTCCGCCCCCTGCCCACGGCGACGCCACCTCCGCTCCCGTTCTTCCTCATTACCTCTGCCCCAGTCGCCGCTATCTCTTCCGCCGCCTCTTCCTTCGCCATCGCCTCTATCGCAACTTCCTTCGGCGGCGGCGATGGTTGGCGTATCGCACTGTTATATTCAAGTTCGCGGATTCAAACCCGATCGAAGCCGTAGGTTTTTAAGGGCGAAAAAATCGTTCGTTCGGACGGGAAGTAAAGGCGACGGTCCCATGGTCGTAGATTTACTGCATATTAAAGATCCGCAATCCAAAATGAATCCAGTTCTCAATCCTAAATTCAAATCACATGTTTCGTCCTCCTTTATCAGCTAGTTAGCTAAATTCGGTCAGGCAGAAGAGTAGGCAACATGGCGTCAGTCACGTCACGTAAAATAAAGCATCAATTCAATTCAATTCGTCAATGTCGTATCGGGGGAGTTGTCTCAGGGCATCAACTGAGTCACTGAAGTGCCTCTGGCCGGAGGTAGGAGGTACGGTGGCAGGATTTTCGATTGGCTTCTGTCGTTGTCTGGAGGAGAATTCTAGCTGCCAGCTGTTCTAATCGGTAGTTTTTCGTGGTTTGTCCGATCTTCACCAGGCGAATGACGGAGCAGTACCTTCACAAATGGGCCACGGACCACGCGCGATCTTTGTCCTATCCTCACCCCTTACTTACACACACACACATGCACTACACTACAACACATGCTGGGAGATCGTCGGGAGCAAAGACCTTGTCCCGACCGGAACGGGGCCCACCTCCTGGGAGATACCGGTTTAAGAAAACGATAGGTCGACGCCATAGCTCACCATCTAGCGAGGGACGTTCACCACAACTTTCCAAGAAAATAGCGTACACTGCACTTACAGGACTAAATGACTTTATCAGTTGAAGCGCCAGAAATCACTAAACAGTCAATAAAAAAATCCCAAAGTCATTTCCATCGCCATTTCTCCCGCCGTCTTCGTCTCCAACCGTTGCCGCCGTCTTATCAGCCAATTTCTCTGCCTCAGCCAGATAATGACTTCACATTCACTCGCACCTTTCCCACGCCTTTGTCTTCTCTCCCGATCACATTGCCATTGGCTTCCGTCGATTGCACCTTCACAAACTTATTTGTGACCGCCCTCGCCAGCCTCTTCTCCACCGCCGCAAGCGCCATCATCTCCCCTCCGCTTCCACATCGCGCATCTGCTCCGTCTCCACGCCCGCTCTCGCTCCTTCGTTACCTTCTCCGCGGCCCCTCCCCTGATGGCCCCTGCTTCCTCATTCGCCAGCTTCTTCGCCTCCCCCTCGCCGCTCCCTTCTACACGGATTCTAGCGCGGGACGTTCACAACAACCTTCCAAGAAAATAACATGCACTACACTTACAGGACTAAATGACTTTACCATCGCCCACACCTCCGCTTCCACATCAGCCAACTTCTCCGCCTCAGGGCCCGCCGTCTCATTCATTCGTGCAACTGTCACTTCCTCTACCACCGCCCGCTCTCTGATGACCGCCGCCAACTTTTCTTCCGCCCTCGCCACCCCCTCCTCTGCCAGCGCCTTCCACAATCGCAAAATTTCTCCGCTTCCCGCACCATCACCACCGGCCTCCACCAACCCCCCGCCTCATTCTGTCCCACTAACCCCCCAGAGTTTCTGCCGCTCGCACCTGCGCCAGCACCGTGGCGCGACCGCCCCCTTCTGCCTTCTTGTTTACAAGGTCGGTGGGCGGCAGACAGACGCGCGCGAGGCGCTTGCGTGCCTTCGGGCACGCGGCCAAGCGTTGAGCCCTGCCGCCGCCCTCGCCGCGCTTCAACAGGCCTATTCCACACGCTATTCGCCAGCGAGTGCTCTCCGCAGGCCCTCACCCGCCTCGCTTCGCACCGCCCGCCCACCCGCCCTCACCCTTCCACGCTCTGACTCTTTGCGCGAACCCGCTCCGCCCTAACCCGCCGCTCTCCCTGCCCGCCCGCGTCGCGCCCCGCCCTTCCCCATCTGCCCCCGCACTGCCCCGCTCCGCCTCGCCCCTCCAAGCCCCGACCCTGAGCGTGATCCCTCTTCGTCCAACCCACTGCGTTCTCTCTGCCACACGCGCCGCACCGTGTCCGCCGCTCCCCACCTCGCCCATCCTGCCCCGCCCCTCCCAACTGCCCCCGCACTGCCCCGCTCCTCTTCGCCCCTCAAAGCCCCGACCCTGAGCGTGATCCCTCTTCGTCCCAACCCACTGCGTTCTCTCTGCCCACCGCGCCGCACCGTGTCCCGCCCCACCCCACCTCGCCCCATCCTGCCCCGCCCCTCCCCAACTGCCCCCCGCATTGCCCCGCTCCTCCTCCGGCCCGCTTCAAGCCCGACCCTGAGCGTGATCCCTCTTCGTCCCAAACCACCGCGTTCTCTCTGCCCACCGCGCCTCACCGTGTCCCGCCCTCCCCACCTCGCCCCATCCTGCCCGCTCTCCCAACTGCCCCCGCACTGCCCCGCTCCTCTTCGCCCCTCAAAGCACCGACCCTGAGCGTGATCCCGCTTCGTCCCACCCCACTGCGCTCTCCCTCCCCGTCTTCGCCGCCGTCCTGGCCCATCATGATCCGCTGAAACGGCGCAGCCCTGCTATGTGCTGCTCCTGCCCACCTGGCCCCGCCCCGCCCCGCCTCCATCCCGCCGGCTCCGCCCCGCCCTGCTCCCCCGCGCTTCATCACTCCACCCCCACACCATGCGCCGCCTTCCTCACGTGGCCCAGCCCCGCCCCGCGCCGCTTCGCCCCGCTGTGCCTCGCACGACCGCCCCTGCCCCGCCGCTCTTCTTCGCTCCCCGCCCCACCGCGCCGCGCCCCGCACACGCTCCCCCCGCCCGCGCCGGTCTTGGCTCCTTGGCTCTGGCGCTCGCCCGGGACGCGAGGAAAGGGCCGTGTCCCTTGAGTGGGAGGCGGCGCGGGCGCGGTTGACGCTTCTGGCCCCATCCGGACGCCACATCTTCAAGGACGCGGCGCCCCCCCCCCCTCCGGAAAAGAGCGCGCGCCCGCCCCGTGGCGGTTGGATCGGCGGCCAGACACGACCGAGTCTCTCTCCTCTTCTCTCTCTCTCTCTCCTCTCTCGCTCTCTCTCTCTCTCTCTCTTCTCGTCTCTCTCTCTCTTTCTTCTGTCTCTCTTTCTCTCCCTCTCTGTGTCTCTTCTCACTGTGTGTCTCTTTGTATTAACTTCTATTCTCTATTTCCTAGTCACTCCTCTCTGTCTCTGCCCTTCCGTCTGTTCCTCTTCTAGATATTTCTCTCTTTCAGTATCTCTCCCTCTCTCTCCACGTTCTTTCTCATTCCATGTCCGTGTCCGTCTCTCCTTGCCCCCTCTCTTGCCTCTTCAATGTCTTTCCCTCCTTCCCTCCCCCTGTTTCTCTATGTGGCTCTCCACTTCTCTCTTCACGTCCCTCCCTCTTTCTCCGGTCTCTCTTTCCAGGCTTCTCTCTTCCTATATTTCTTTCTCTCTTTCTGATCATACTTTTTCAGTTTTTCTGCCTCCCTTCTCTCTCTTGTTCACTGTTTCCTCTCTTCCTGTCTCTCTCCCTCTCAGCCCATCTATCTTTCCATGACTATGATTCTCTCTCTTTCTCTTTCTCTCTCTATCAAACTATATTCATCAAAGCACCGTTTCTTTCTCAGCTTTTCTCAATCTGCTTCTCTTCTATGATGGGGGAAAAGTTTTGGATCCAAAAAATGTGAGTTAAAAGAAGAGTTTGCGAAAGTCAGGAGAAAATAAGGGTGAAAGGAGAGGACAAGGAGGAAGTTTGTAATGTCAGAACTTGTAATCTAATATAATAAGAAAATAGTTGAAGTATAGGTTTTAAGAGGAATAAAGCGTAAAGACTGTGCAATGATATGTAACAATAAGTAATGAAATGTAAGATATGATAATGTAAAATATGAAGGAACTAACTCGTAAGAAAGTGTTATGTGTTAATATTAAATTTTTATGAGATACGTATATAGTTACAAAAAGACTGAACCCTAAGGCTGAAAACCCGGTACGAATTGAACTGAATTTAATGTTAAAAAAAGAAATTGTAAACCGACTCACTTCTGTGCTGTTCGATAAACTGATCGTAACCTGCGAACCATCAGCGCCGGAATGTGGCTCAGCTTGTTCACGAAGCTCGAGAGGTAAACTAACAAACATCTCGCCTGCAAGCGGGGGCGCCTCGCGATCTCGGGCAACGTGCCGAACATTAAGACTCCTCCGAGAGGCCGAGTGGCAGACCGGACAGCGATAGGATGTCGCGTAGCAGACCGGGCAGCGATATGATGTCGCGTAGCAGACCGGGCAGCGATAGGATGTCGCGTAGCAGACCGGGCAGCGATAGGATGTCGCGTAGTAGACCGGGCAGCGATAGGATGTCGCGTACTTCAATATAATGTTGTATAAGTGTATTATACGAACGATTGGCTGATTTGTTAGGAATTCGGCCAGTGGGTTTTTTTTTCTCTTCAAGTATCTCTCACTCCGCTCTCGCCGCGACAAACTTTAAACTCCTGACTGGTGTCCCGAAATGTGGGATAGTGTAGTGCATGTAAGTGTGTGTAAATAAGTGTGTAAATAAGAGGTGAAGAGAGGCCAAGGAAGAGGAAGAAATGCTATCGCGTGGTGTCTCGCCTGTTTCTTAGAGTACTGCTCCGACCTGATGTTGATCAAAGAAATCACGGAAAACTAGAGACCACAGCAGCAGGCCGCTAGAATTCTCCTCCAGGCAGCGACTGAATTCGACCTCTCTATGTAGTCATTTATTTGTGCTTTTATTCACTTTCGTTCCTCTGATTATGCGACATTTTCGTTTCGTACCGACCGCGTCCCGACAGTCCTGAAGGGGCTCTGCTGTTCTTCAAAACGTCGGCCGAATGCAGCCTGTCCCTCTGGCACTGCAGTTCCAGCTGGCGCGAGTCGGGCCGGCTTAGTCACCGGCGTCCCCGCCGGCATTTGAGCGCGAGCTCGCGCCCAGAACTTCGCGGATGATTCACTTTCTCTGTCAACAGAATATTTCTGCTCGGCGTGGTCGCCCGTTCCGCTTTCGTCTCGGCAGCGGGCATGTGTTCCCGCTAACTGCGACAGTGATAAGTAACTGGAACCGACCGCGCTGCCAACGAACACACGCGGGAAGGGAAAAGGCGAATCTGTCAATCGGGAAACAAACTGAGAAAAGCGGATAAACAGCTCTGCCGCGCGCACGCCGGAAAATGCGCTAACGTGCGTCTCGGCTAGCTTTTCGGTTTTGCCTCGCTCTCTTCCCACCTGCAACGTATGGGCGCTAAGAGACATTATTTGGCATTTTCTCAATTTGTTAGGCCTTCTAGGTATTGAAATATGACTAGGAATATTATAAAAGAGTAAAATATGGTTTTACATGCAAATTTTCGTAGAAAAATTTAATGTAATTTGCGTACTTCTAAAAGTGCGCACTCTTGACCTCATTTTCATACAACCATTTGAGTTTTTAAGAACATTCAAATGCGTTTTTCATTAGTCCTGCAACTGTAATGCATGTCTTACCAGGTCTCTAGAATCCCCCTCCAGACTGCGGCTGAATTTGACCTAGACACGTTGCTAGTGTCGAAATTTCTGCCTCACCGGCGGGACTCAAACCAAAGACCTCCCGGTCAGAGACGCTGCAGAGACATGAGCTGTTGCTCTTAGCCGCCTCAGACGGTAGAAATCATCTGAAGCAGTTGAACTCGTATATCCAATAATGAATAAAGAATGCCCATAACGTAAATACCGAGAGGGAAGATATTTAAATTAATTCATAATTAGTTGTTTCCGAGTTTGTAGGCCGTGGTCCAACGGAGACTTGTCCAGTCTCCGTTGGACCACGGCGTACAAACCCGGAAACAACTAATTATGATGTAGAAACCGGACGTGAATCATACATTGTATATTTAAATTAGTGTTGCTGAAGCAGCACATAGAGCATCTTGCATAATTCGTCACGGTTCCGCAATATTATACTCCTATAGTAGTAAAACATATATTGCGTGCGATCCATGATGATCCCCCTAAGAGGATATTCAAAGCAGTTACATGTCAGCCTTGTTTGTTTGTTGTTTTTTTCATTGGGAAGGAATTAGAACAGTGGTAGGGTTTAGGATACTTCACAGTGGTTGGGACTAGCCCCTGTGAAGCAGTCAAACTCGTTCTTCAATATTGTAGCTGTAGGAAGTCGCCGTAAATTTATTAACTTTTGGAATTTTCGAAAATTCAGAAAATTTAACGGAAAAAATGTCGCGCCATTTTTATAGCGATCTTTGTTCAAATTTAATTGAAATATCAGGGGACCCCAAAACGTGTATATCCGTTGCAATCTCGAAACCGTTTTTCCGCAACATTACATAACTTTTAGTACACACGAAAAAGTAAAAATTGGTGCTGTTTTTGATAACAATTGGAAAATAATTTTGAGCCTCCTCCCAAAATTAAAATATCTATTTCAAATTCAAAGACCCGCGACACTAGTCATATCTATGAGGAAATGTGAATTTCGATGAAAATGCTGCGTACAGTTTAGCAGCTAGCGTTGTCCACAGACGGACGGGCAGACTTTTTGCCGTAAACCAATTTTTCAGTGACAAGGAACCACAAAAAGTTAATTCTGACTGCAGAGCATGTTCGAGATAGTAACTTACTACATATAGGAACCAGTTATTCGCTTTTTAGGTGTCAAGAACCTACAATACTAATGTTCACTACTTTAATAAATACTCATGTTTCTGCCGAAAACTCGCAGCTTTTCGCTTCAACATTACATAACTTTCTCTATACTACGTATGTATATTGGGGAGAAGAAAAAAGAATGACAGGGATTTGAGGGCATAGAACCCGACTGCGTCTCATCATCTGAGACCTCAGACTCCAAACAACTACGAGGTATGCAACCATATGCAGAAATTACACTCAGGTAGTGCCGGTTGCGTCATTTCGTACAAGAAGGCGCAGACATCCCCTTCATAGTTTCTCATAAGATTCCTCTTCGGCATGGGACAGCGAATAGTTAAATTATTATGGGGTAATTTAGCTCTGAATGACTGATTAGTTATCCCATGCGCGTCGACTGATAAGGTCATTAGTCCCATAAGTTAAGTATATTTTTTTCGTCAGGAGGTGGCAGTGATATTCCCTCCCCCTGGACGGAGAGATACCGTCGGATAGCGGGGATTTCCCAAACAGGTATCTCCCACCAACGAGGCACCGCCCCATCCGAGACAAGCTCTAAGCTCCCGACCGGTCTCCCGGCACGCGCGGTGGTGAAATGCATGTAAGTGTGTCAGGGGTAGAATAGCACAAGGCATGGGAAGGAAATATCGCACGCGGTCCGTTCGGTAAGATTTTGCTCCGGTTGCTTTACTAATAGGACCTAATTAGCACACAAATAAAAAAAAGAACCCTATTTACACATTTCGACTGGTTCTTTTTTCATTTATTTTGTAAATAATAAACAATTTACAGGTTTCTCGAGTTTCTATGCTTCTGCAATGGAAATCTTCGCTCAGAAAACTTTCCAAACCAACTTTTGACTACTTATTATGGTTCAACCATTCAGACTATCCTTGTAGTTAATTAGACAAAATTTGTTTAAAATTATCTTTTGAGCTTTTTTGCAAAGTTTCGATATTTCCTCACCGGACACTCTATATATAAATTTAGACACACACAAATCGATTTTCAGCCACAACATTGCATGCATCTCCTCACCCCCAGCCTTAACCATCTTTGGATCAGCATTAATACACCTTAACAGAAGAAAAGAACCTTTAACAAGGACTTTATCACAGATATTTGAGATCATATTGTTGAGGTGATTCCAATACTTTTCCTCCCTATATTATAGTACAGTGAGGGAAAATAAAAATGAGAGGTGGGGAGAGGGTGAGTCACAGAGAGAGGGGAGGGAGACAGAAATGGAACAGAAACAGAAAAAAGAAAAATCACAACTTACAATATGTATTTTATTTCAAGGCAAACAAGTGAGAGTAAGAAACATAGAAAAATACAATTCGAATAAAACTATAAAATTATCAAAGCTCTAGTCAGTAACAACATACATGCTGGAAAGTGAAGAAGTCATTAACATTCAAACTCATTCAAGGACAGTTTCACTACCATGAATCTCACAACAGTTAAAAAGACAGAAGATGAAACACATTTAAAACCAGAATGTTCACAGCTGCTTTCAGCAAACTAAAATTACATTTTTCACAAAGAATATCAACATTCTGATCTTGGAAGGGTGACAGGCAGTATATTTTTGTAAGAATAGCCTGTAAGTCTCTAAAAAATACAAATTACAACTGCTTTGCTACGATTATTTTCAATGCAGTCATTTTCTTAAAAATAAGTATCACATTCTATTCAAAGTTCTTCAAACACATCTATGATCTCAAAAATTATTTTAGTTCCTTATGTACACGTGGGAAGAATTTTAGCCATCACTGCTATCTTTCAAAGCAACAGGGAAGTCAATGCATCAAGAAATTTTGGCCTATCTTCAGTTTTCAACTGGATAACTGAAATTGAAAATATATATAATTAGCATTTGTAATAAATGGTTAATTATCATTTGACATTTAAACCAACGGAGCTATAACACATTCTTCTAACTAATAACACATTCTTCTTCACATTATTTGTAATGGATACATAATATTATAATACAATAACATGTGTCAAAGACAGAACCTGACAGTGCCTTCAAAAAAAAATGTCCATCTCAGTCAAAAATTCCCTCAGCAGTATGCCATTCCATAATGTCAGAAATGTAAAAATAAATCTCCTTCTTACCCAGGTAATAATCACTTTATGTTCAATAAAATCCTTTCCATTTTCACCTCAGAGGTCATTTTTGTGTATAAAATTGTTTTGTTCTGGGATGGCAGGTTTCAGTCTTATACAGGTTTTACTGTACTACTTGAACACAATGGTAGCTTGTTCTTAGGTTGCGCAGTTGCACAACCCCCCCAAAAATTGAATAAGATCTTCCAATGAGAAATAGATATTTTCCTTCTAATGGCATTCAATATTCAAGATATTGCTGCACTGTCGATGTATATGAAATCATTTCAAAACCAAAGATCGCCCAATGAGCATACTCTCCGGCATCTGTTGCTCTTCCAGACCTTGCACCAAATGACACTCTTGACTCTATTACTACATTTACTGCATTTACTCATGGTTGAGTGCAAATTTCTGGCTGCAGTTAGAACTGAGTTAGCCTTCCAGAGTTGTTAATATGAGTGTATGAGGAACATTTCTCATTATTACTAATACATACTACACTAGTGACACTTTTGAAATAAACTAATTTGTAAAAATACTGGAGTGCAATCACCATATTTTCAAAACCACATTTGTTTTTTGTTTTGTGAGAATTCTATTACCGTCGCCTATGTCAATATATAACTAATACAAATACTGGAGTGCCCACAGGAAATCGAATGCAGAACCATGTGCTCGGAATGGTGGATATACTTGATATGGACATTACTGTATTTTATGTAATTAAATGTAATATATATTATGTAAGTAATGTTTCAATATAGACTTTGATTAAACTTAGTTTTAATTAATTTACATGAATTGCCTATGTTTTATTGTATATTTGTGTTATGAATTTTGGAAATTACATACATCATTCACTGGAGCTGCAGCCTCCAGTTTGTTGAGGCACCAGCCACTACTTCAACATACCTTTGTGTAATTTTTGAAAAATTAAGATTACACCAAAACAATGATTATGGCATGTTCAGTTCACTGACCACTATCCATTCAAAATATTTAATGAAAAAATTTGAGTTTTTTTTTTTTGAGAAAGTCTTGTAATAAATCACTACTAAGTCACCATGCAAAATTAAGGAAAAACTTCTCAATTTTGAAAATTGTAAGACATTTAAAAGATCTAATTTTGAAGAATAGATTTCATTACAAAGAAAAATCTCTATCCTCAATAATATAGTTGTAAGAAAATTTGTAACTCTTGCAATAGTCAAAAATTTAAAGAATTCATCAAAAATCAATCTTGCACTATTTTGATATACATAATCTATTCTGAGGCAAAATTTAAAGAAACAAATTTGGAGCCATTTTTGATAAAATTTTGAAAATGTCATTGGAGCTTCATGTAAAGTACCCCCAAAAACGTTTTAAAATGCAAGGGGCTGTGACAGTAACATATTCAGCCAGATCAAATCGAGAAATATCAATTTTGGTGAAAATCCTGGGTATAGCAGCTGATTCTGGCCACACAATGAGTAAGTAATATACAACACATACGAAAAAAGAATTATCAACATTTTCTGAATCAGGGACCTACAACACAACTCAGCTGAAGATTACTGATTTTCATCACAGCATAAAAAAGTAAAAATTATTGCAAATATACTTACTGGAGGTGTCAAAATAATCCATGTTCATTCGAGCACTAATTCGTTCACCTGCTTGCTCAAACGCTTTTCCAAAGAAACTGAAATGTAATAATAATAATAATAATAATAATAATGAATAATAATAATAATATAATAATAATATAATAATAATAATACATAATAATAATTAATAAATCATATAATATATAATAATAATAATAATAATATATAATAATAATAATAATAATAAATCATAATAATAATAATAATACATACATAATAATAATAATAATAATAATAATAATAATATAATAATAATATTAATAATAATAATATATAATAATAATAATATAATAATAAAATATAATAATAATAATAATAATATATATACTAATAATAATATAATAATAATAATAATAATAATAATAATAATAATAATAATAATAAATACATAATAATAATAATAATAATCATAATAATAATTAATATATAATAATAATAATAATAACTAATAATAATAATAATACATAATAATAATAATAATAATAATAATAATAATATAATAATATAATAATAATAATCCTAATAATAATTAATAATAATAATAATAATAATAATAATAATAATAATAATAATCATAATAATAATTAAATAATAATAATAATAATAATTAATAATAATAATAATAATAATAATAATAATAATAATAATAATAATAATAATAATAATATAATAATAATATAATAATAATAATAATAATAATAATAAATAATAATAATAATAATAATATAATAATAATAATAATAATAATAATAATAATAATAATAATAATAATAATAATAATAATAAATAATAATAATAATAATAATATAATAATAACTAATAATATAAATATAATACTAATAATAATAATAATAATAAATAATAATAATAATAATAATTAATATATAATATAAAAAAATACAATAATATAATAATATATAATAATAATAATAATATAATAATAAATATTAAATAATAATAATAATAATTAAATAATAATAATATAATAATAATAATAAAATAAATAATAAAATAATTAATAATAATATAAAAAATAATAATAATAATAATTATAATAATAATAATAATAGATAATTAAAATAATAATACATAATAATAATAATAATAATAATTAATAATAATAATAATTAATAATAATAATAATAATAATAATTAATAATAATAATAATAATAATAATAATACATAATAATAAAATAATAATAATAATAACTATAATAATAATAATAATAATAATAATTAAGAATAATAATAATAATAATAATAATAAATAATAAAATAATAATAATAATAATCAATAATAATAATACATAATAATAATAATAATAATAATAATAATAATAATAAAATAATAATAATAATTAATAATAATAAAATAATAATAATTAATAATAATAATAATAATAATAATAATAATAATAATAATAATACATTAATAATAATAATAATAATAATAATAATAATAATAATAATAATAATAATAATAATAATAATAATTAATAATAAATAATAATAATAATAATAAATAATAAATAATAATTAATAATAATAATAATTAATAATAATAATAATAATAATAATAATAATAATAATAATAATAATAATATAATAATAAATAATAACTAATAATAATTAATAATAATAAAATAATAAAATAATAATTAATAATAATAATAGATAATAATAATGAATTAATAATAATAATAATAATTAAATAATAATAATAATAAATAATAATAATAATAATAATAAATAATAAATTGAATAATAATAAAATAATAATAATGAATAATAATTAATAATAATGAATAATAATAATAAATAATAATAATAATAATAATAATAATAATAATAATAATAATAATAATAATAATAGTAATAAAAGCTTAAAATGCTCATTCTCTATTCATATATATAAAGCACATCTTCACAAAAACATCTACAAGGCCATACTATGATCCCATTTAACTAATCACACTCATATGAATTATATAGAGGTATCAAAACTGAATGGCAAAACTTTAGGAAAAGACACAGGGCCATAAAAAGCTATTACTATGGATAGAATTTTCAGGTTTTAAAAACTCTGTTTAATGTTTTCAGAATATGCAAAGTAGATTTCATTTTTTTATTTTATTAATAAAATTACATTAAGGAAAGTAAATTCATAATTTTCATGATTACAGTCCAATTCAAATTGAAATGTTGCCTAGATGTAGTGTGGTGGAACAATGAGTATATTATTCTATCTATATGAAAATTAAATGAATCACTGATTGCAAGAACAACCCAAGTCACAATGTATTAATTTTTGCAAAATTAAGAAAAACAACATAGGTACTACATGAATTGGTTGAATAGATGAAACAAACAGAGAATTAAGTAGTACTCAAAATGTTCATAGTTAATGTATGACATTAACCTGCTACATTATTTGAATAGTAAAATATATCATATGCTATTCTTGTTATATCTTAGGTTGTTTTTGAAATCAATATTTTTTTATTTTAAAAAATGTTATAAATCTCCAAACAAAATGATCTATGTTAACAAAATTAGCAATAGAACAGTAATTATTCCTGTTTTCCATAACATGTTTTTGGTCTGCACTTTGTCCACATATCTTCCACTTTCCTATTCTTGTAACATTTTTCATCTGGCAATTGTAGTTCATTCTTATGATTAAGTTTGCAAAAGAAATTATTGTTCTAATTCCATTAATGAATTACATTGCTTTCACAATTCCCAACGTTGATGATTTTAACAAAAACTATAATGAAATTTTTAAGTAATTAGGTCTGTGGATAACCCTTGGAATATGTTGCGTTGATGTCTCAAAAGAAAAGTGATTCTTACCATAAATTTACTTTTAAAAATACATAATTTCAATTCTGACCACCAAAGTTTAAGAATCTGAAATTCCTCTTTGCAATTACTATACATTCCTATCCTTCAATTTATTCGGTATTCAGAAAAATGTTTAACTCATCTTTGCATAACTACTGGCAGATGATTCTTCCTTCATTTTCATGACAATACTAACATCCACAATACGATCAATTTCTTCTAAAGAGTAGTATCAGAAATTACTGTAATGAGAATTATTGATAAGAAGAATAACTGAAGTCCTGGATTTCAGATAAAAAATACCTAGCTCAGTTTACATTATAGTTACTGGGACTTTGATTGTATTTAAGCGTTTTCTGATGAATCAATGTGCAAAGAATGCATTTGAACCTCGATTTATAATTCACATTTATAGTTTCCACTTAACAATAATCTAAGCCATGCCTGTTGGGGTACATTTTTGCCATTGGGGGTCAAATTTCAAGAGGGGGTAACATCGCAACACAAGATAAGTCCTGTTTCTCACATTAATCCCAACTGAAGACATTGAAATTAAAAAAATAGGAAATAACACAATTTTTAATTTCAAGTTCTGAAAGATTTTTAGGTAATCAAATCTCATTTAGATATGGTTAAAATGAAATATCAGATTTCCACCATCAAATATTCAGTTAAATAAACAAGAACTTTTTAATTTGGAAGAAAAGAAATAAAAAAGGAAAAACCTAAAACTTTCAAGTTATTACAACATGCATCTGGAAATACTTATTGAGGTATAGTGAGAGGCATGCTGACACAATACACGCAATGTACATTACTGATTTATGTTACTGATAAATGTAAGTAATGTAATCAGCCTCCCCAAAAATGTTGTGTGTTTCAATCATTAATACATCAGTTGGCCTATTTCCAGTTGGAACAGAGTTCACCTATCATATGAAACATTGAAAATAAATCTTCTCCTCTCTGAATACGCATGTCAGATTATCTTCCTATTGAGTGTCATTTGTGATCACAAATGACTGGCATAGAGCATATTGCAAGACAATCTGAAAAATCACGCAAATTTGGCTCACCTACAACAGCACCACACTTTACATGTCCTCCAAGATAAATTATAAACTTGAACACCTGTGCAAACAAAGGATTTTCAAGCAGAGAAGTAATAACCTTTTCTTATTGCTTTATATTGGTTTAGTCTCAAAATTTTGCCACACCCAACATAACGTTAGGTACACGTTTTTATAGCACTATTCTTCATAAAGGAAATATTTCAAAGCTCACTTGTTCGATGATTCATCAGCTACAGGTGGTATCCCAAGAAGCAAGCAGGTGCCTTTCTCAGGATCTAGTGGTGCCGATGCAATAAGAGGTTGGCTTGCAGCCTTCTTGCTTCGAGACGAGCCCACATACGCTTCCAATGCAAACTGAGCAAGCAAGCCCAAGCACAATGGACTGGAATACAACTGAACATCAAGAGTTCCCTGTTCAAAAACAAATCATATCATAAGTGAGCTGATCAAGACCAAGTAGTGCAAGGCTTACAAAGAAGCACTTGCTTGGGGCCCTGCCCTGGTAGAGACCCGTTGACAATTCTCTTCAACCCTTTGTGCTCCTATGGCAAGTGGGACTCGTCATCAACATTTTTGCTTTATGCTCTAATGTTGTGACTCACTCAACATGGCTTTTCTGGTTGCTTCACATTGAAGAAATTATATTTTTGTTGTTGTAGTAAATAGATATTTTTTTACAAAGATTATTGCAACACCACATATATCAATGTTCTTTCATACCAATTATTTTGAAGAAGTGTTATTAGAGACTTGCAAAGGGAAAGTCAGAACCAGGGCTGCCGTTAACTTAAGACATTGGAGAATACTTCAATGAAAAATAACCCGTAACAAACAAATTTCCAGGAACTAAGCATAAGGACTATACTGTGTGTTCAGACAAGAAGAAGGAAAAAGAAGGCATGAAACAAACTATTTGTCTGTGAAACATGTTCCATGCAGCCAGCATTGCATCCAGAATAATGCTTCAAATGATATCACGCAGAAGAAATAAAAATTTTAAACATATAAAACCTTAAAAAATAAAGAAGCTTTCAAAGAATTGAGTATTTATTTTTAATTAAACCTGTTAACAATATACCAAACTTTAAACACATCATTAATTCAGTGAACCATGCCCCATGGTCAGGGCGCAGAATTTAAAGTGTTCATGGGTGCATACAATAAATACATACAATAAATAACATACATTTCAAATGTTTTGTTAACTATTATAAGTCATAGCAGATGTAACTTAATCCTCACTGCTACTTGCATTCGAATTGTTATCATCTCAATCTATCGTCGAACAGGAAGGCATGTGTTTTGATGGTATGGTTCAGGCAACTTTCTCCTTTTCCTACATTTCCTATGGTTGATTTTTTATTTAATGATTTACAAAATAATTAACAATACATCTACTTGGTAGAAGTCCAGAAATTTCTTATTTTTTCTCCAACAAATGAAAATACGTTTTATCACCCATGTAACTTTATTGGCTTCGTGAAGAATTTTCACTTATTGGTTTCACAATTCAAAATTTTGTCCCAATTTTGCAGAATTCAGTATTGTTTAAAAATTTTTAATCTCTTAACCTAACTTTTCGAAGTACTGAACTTATTATGAGTTGCCAAAAGATATACAGCTTGCGGTCCCCTAATGAATAAATCCAGCACTTCAGTATGGCAATCATAATATACTAAGAGCTAAGTGGCTACCATAGTTGGTACCCATTTTGAAGCCAGCAGAACATCTAGAGGTGTCTGATAGTTCATTAGAAAGTTTGAAACAAGGTCAATTTCTAATTTGGGTCCTCATCTTTGATGACCTGTTACCAGCTAAACAAAATATCTATTCTTTAATTGTGGTATGTTGAGTTTCTTTCATTCTTTCACATGAATGACTTTCCTATTCATGTCAATCATCGAGCAATAACTTATGCATTATGCTTAATTATGTATCTCCCCATTTCCCTTCCTATCTCCATCTTGCCATATACTTCAACCAAATCTCTTGCTTTCTTATGCACATCCCCTTTCCCTAAATACTTAGGTAGAAGAGTAAATACTCCAAAGGATAATAAATTGGGTTCTATGATTTGTATGCATTGTTTTACTTGCTTTATTTCTACATCAGAATGAACAGTTTACCTCTCTAGAAACATGCCATGCAAAAGGAAATTTTAAAATAATTTAAAAATTTGGTGAACTATAAAAATTTTACAAATGCAAATGCATCTCTTTAAAATTCACTCAAAAGCTTTATTAACAATATTTCAGGCTTCACCATCTACAATTTTAATTAAGAACTTTTTTTTTCTTCTATCAGCACTTCTAAATCTTCCACAGAATTTTGTCTGTCTACTCGAGTTGTGCTTTAAATTCTTTATTAACTGGAATTGAAATAATTAAATTCTATATTAATTGGATCGCTTGTGACATTCCAAAGAGAGATTGTCTCCAAACTAAAACACATGGTTGCATCTCATTATTCCATATATTGACATCTCTGACGCATAATATAGAGAGAAGGTGGCAGCATCAGAGAAAGTGATATAAATGCTAAAACCTGCATGGAATTTTAGATTGAGCCACAACTTTTTATGAACTGAAGTTATCGAGGTAAACGTGGTAGAGTAAATATGTCATGTTCTGTCACAGCACTTCAAAAATTCAACAATATAATGGCAATAAACTAAGAAAACTATTCACATGAAAAAATACTCATAAGTAACGATGTAATGAATACTGCAATATCGTATCCTATATCACATACTATCAATTGTATGCTCATTGAACCACAGATTGTCCTACAACAGTATGTACCTGCAATAAATAAGACTGCTAACTCAAGGTTGGGAAAGTATAGTAATCTTGAAGTGTATGACAGATGCTAAATTTACTCAATCAATTCAGTGACATGCAGTTTCTTGAGAATGTTTTCAGTCTTTGAAGGGAGATAATGCTCTACTCATACTATTGGCTGCACCATCACCTGTCTGCTCTGAAGTATACTGATGGATACATAAGTCTAATTCGTAACAATAATAAGACAAAAAAAGAGAGTAAAATGTACTGACTACTTGGGAGGGAAAAAAAAGAGGGGGGTAGTCCTCTCCACTCCTCCCTATAGGGCCTCTGACCAGGAGGTCCTAAGGTTCGAGTTCCTTCATTGGCAGGATTTTCAATGGTCCCACGCTTTCCTGATTTGCCCGATTAACACCAGGCAAACGCCGGAACAGTACCCTATCAAACAAGCCACGGACTGCATGCGATCTTTCCTTCCCCTTCATGTCCTATCCTCACCCCTTTCTCACACACACATTCACTCACACACACTACACTACCTCACGTCAGGAAATTAGAACCTGTCCCTGGGGCTGGGCAATGCCACGCTGGTGAGAGATACCTGTTTGGGTAAATCCCCGGCAAATAGCCAACATAGGTCGGCATTGGATTTCAACACCCGGCAGGGAAAGATCACCACTACCAACCCCAAAATAAAACATTCACTACACTTATGGGACTAACGACCTTAGCCGTTGGTGTGCTTGTAATCACTGATTAATCAATCCATTCCTCCTGACAGTGATACCCATGATTGCACCCTTGTGTGTGTAATAGTAGATCACATGGGATCCTTGGTGATCTCTAGGGATATTCATACCAGTTAGTTGCTAGCCTTAATTCCACCGAAAGCACTTCCAAGAAAATAGAAATGGGACTTACCTCCTGTAGAACTAAATATAAAAAAGGGCCGGCCGATATAACCTGTCTCATCTCCAAGAGAGACTGTACTTGTTTAAAAATTGAAACTAAAATAGTTTTGCATTTTTCTATTCCGTCTTCCAGAACATGTTTATTCGATCTGAAAGCATGATATTTTTACTATCAACCCTTCGCTAATTTCCAAACATGTCAAAACTCTAATAATTGCTTACCGAGACAAACTATCCAATGCTTCCATGAAACACGTAGATAGAGATTTATCTTTTGCCTGAAGTATAAGCACAATAAGTTAAAATACATTTTCCCAAGAATTCTCAAGATACTTGCTGGCAAAAAAGGATGAAAGAATAAAACACTTACACGAGATTCCAGAAGAGCAAGAACACCATAAACAAAGTCAAAGGCACAAAAGCGACCACGGTAACCGTATTGGAGGAAGAAGGTAGCAGTCATGATCCTATCCATGTTATACTTCTCACCTAGTTTCTCCATACTTTCCGGAAACTCTTTTCTTAGAATCATATTCATTGATGTAAATTTCTGGCGGCTTTGCACCAGCGGAAGACTAAGAAGCAAAACATCACTCACAAAAATTAACAATAAAGGAAAGAAATTCATGAAGAACTCACATCAAAAATTAAAAGTTTGAAGGAGATTTAACGCTAAATGACTTAAGGTAGTAAAGCTACAGATCAACAAACTTATATGTTAGACATGAATATATAATTCCATCACTTGATATGACGAATGGCATTCTTTCTTACCCAATTTCAGCCAAGAGTTCTTGAACTTTGCTCTCTCCCCTTAAAGTCCAAAGCCGCAACTTCGTAGCAGAATATCGAGAATATCGTAAACTTGCTTCAACAGTCCAATGACGATATAACGCTAGTTGCAGACTTGTCAGTTAAGAAAATTTCTCTACTACATCATTTCTATTATAAATACTTATTACAATTTCTAGTATTCATTAATCACATTGCTAAATGCAACTGATAAAACATTTCTCACATTCACACCAATTCATTTATGATTTCAAGTTTTCAACCCAGAAATCCAGAGAATCAATTGTCAATCCAATGTTGAATTTAGGGATTATATTAAAAAAATACATTACAAACTGCTGAAAAATAATAGCTGTTATGGAAGAATGTAACTTTTGCCAAAGATATAACAAACCAAATTTCAACTCCCCCAGTTTTCACAGATACCAATGTAAAAGGATACTCTTTTCCAAATGTAATTTTTACTCCCGTCAAAATATTTCCAACATCATCTTCATTACTTTGATTATCAGAGTGATGACTCAGCCTTTGAACATGTGCTTGTAGGAAACCAGTCTCCAACACATACCGCTGATAATCTACTTTTGCCAACAGCATTTGTTCGGTTGCTCCAACAATGGCCAACCACAGAAGGTCATTTGTGTCTTTTGACATCCTCCAAGCAAGTTCATACATCACAACAGCACTCTGGGAACAAGAAATTTAAAATGACTAAAAAATCATACACCTTATGAAACACATATTTGACATTAACTGAGGAATATATTCTGGACTCTTAGGTTAAAAAGAAATGAAGTTACAAAAATCATAAGTTCAACATTTATGTGCACAAAGCCTTTTCTTTTAGTCTAAAAAGTATCCGTGAGCTCAGAATAATTTTAGAGATTTATGTTTTCAGCTCTTTTAGACCTAAAGAAAATTACTTGTTTTCTTTTGTGCATATAAACTAGTGACCATTTTCTTACTCTGAACCTAACCTAAGTTCACTGCTGTCATTGGTCATACTTATTAGAACAATTGTGCGCTCCAAAAACCCCTTATGGAAGTATTTACTATGGGAGTTTGCTGGAAATTTGTTACAACTGTTAACAACTTTTGGGTGCATTTACATTTGATGCTAAAAACATAAGCACATTTTGTTTTTACAGTTTAAACAATAACTAGTGGTGCAGCAGAATGGCACAGACTTTCCTGTATTTATTTATTTATTTGTATTGATACAGGCAATGCCCACTTATAAATATATAATCTACAAAACAAAATCTAAATTAGTTAAAATCATATAATAATTTCTCTTTTGCTAAAAACTTAGATTCAAGAACACAATCAGAAAATCGATATTTGCATTATTCGCCATTTTACACCTACACCAAAGAGGTGCATTTCGGGCAGCATTTGTTTTACAAAAAGGAATATTATAAATAAAGCTTAGTTAACATTGCAAAGTTTGGATTCAGGTGCTTTCCATAATAATAATTTTCATAAACCAGGACAATCAATACAGTTGTTGCATAAATTATACAAAAATAAATAATTGACATACATTCTATGAGACTTTAATGAGCTGAGACCCAGTATAGTTGCAATTTCATTATAATAACGTAAAACATACGGTGAAGGCAATTTTATATCATAAAAACAAAGTTAAAAAACTTATGCTGACAGTTTCAATTCTATTTATATGAACTTGATAAAAGGGAGACCAGGCTGGTGACGCATATAATAAAATAGAATGGACAAGAGTTAGATATAGGGTTTTAAATGACGAAGTATTTTTGAAATCCCCAACCATTCTTTAGGAGTGGTTATTCAGATGAAAGCCAGGTAGCCATGCTATTTCAGGACCTAGCAGATGAAACTGATGCAAGCGGGAGAGTAGATGCAATAGTCATAGATTTTGCCAAAGCGTTTGATGTCGTTCCCCACGATCGGATCGTACAGAAATTAATGAATTTAGGCATAGATTTCAGGGTGGTGGCATGGATTAGTGAGTTTCTGCAAGACAGAAAGCAGAAAATCCGAATTGGCCATGAGTGTTCTACCAGGGCAAGCGTTACATCAGGAATACTGCAGGGGAGTGTCATCGGACCTCTTCTATTTCTACCATTCGTCAATGATCTGCCAGCGCACTTAATATCAAATGTTCGGCTATTTGCAGACGATTGCATAATATATAATAGTGTGAATTCGAAAGAAAACTAAGAAATGTTGCAACGAGATCTTGATGCATTACATTGCTGGGCAGAAAATAATGGAATGACCATAAATAGCTCCAAAAGCAAATCCGTCACTTTTGGCAAGGGTCATAATTACAGAGAAACAAATTACCATTTAAATAAAGACATTATTCCAATAGTTTCCTCATGCAAGTACCTAGGAAAAAATTCACTTGTGAATTTTTCAAAAATTCAGAGTTAATCATGAGAATAGGATCTATGTCACCTTTATAAGTGTATTTTACTCTTATCTTACAAGAAATTTAAAGAAAAATTTTGAAGCCATGTTTCAAAAAATTTTGAATCCAGGGGGCTTCATATAGAGTATTCTCAATGTTTTTCAAATTGCGATGCCACAAGTGAAGCCAGATCAACCAGGGAATATCCATTCCGGAAAAAATCATGTGTTATTACACTCAGGTTTTGGAGGGTCTGTTTATTTTTGTGGCAATTTATTTAAGATTAATGTTAAGTAAAGCATACACTAACAATTTGAAAATAATGGTCCCTTAATATCATATTCAGTTATTTCGGAACACTCAAGACAATAATATCATTCGAAAAAAAAAGCAGAACCTACTGATCTTCCATAATAACTGTACTGAGTATAACTGAAGAGAACATGATTTCTGTTTTCTTCCCATTGCCTTTTCTCTCTTCGCTTTCTCATAGCTTCTTCAGCCTTCTGACGACGTCTATCTTGCCGATCACCCTCATCTCCTGATTCATCATCATCGTCATCTTCATCTGACTGCAAAAAAGTAAAACAAATCCATAAGGGTAATTAAATAAAATTGAAATTTTCTCCCCATAGATCTAATATATAATTCCTGAAAAGTTACTAAAAATTTAAATACATACGTTCATAAACGGGACTTTCCTTAAAAAACATTTGTAAATGGATCACAAACAAGATATTAGCAGCATTGATAAATTACCTCATCTCGGAATATTTCAGATGGATGAGGAATTTTTTCATCATCAGAACGTGGAACCAGCAATTTCACCTACAAAATACAAAAATTTTAAGTCAATTGCTTTTCAACGTTTTAAGAATATATCATTCTGAATTATTTTGACAGCATACTTTTTGATGCTGTAATGATACATGGTAAAATATTTTACATGACAACATTACTAAGAGCACTTCCAAAACATGAAACTTCAGTTGTGTGCAAACATCATACACACCTGATCTGGGGAATACACATTACACACATCAGTAGGTCTATGGGCATCCAGAACAAAAAACACTATTGAATTTTCAGGCTCTAGTGTATCTATCAGGTCTATTGTTCCTCCACAATTCACGAACAGTACATATTTCACCTAAAAGAAACAAAAGACCACTTCATATGATTCACTGTATTAAGAAACAAAAGCAACACATAGAAAGAACATACTTCTTTACAAAAACTGAGAAAGGCATATTTCAATTCTTCTACACCTCTAACTGGAACAAGAGTATATGATATATGGTCCGATCTAAAAAGATACTGTAAAATTTTGCAGGCACATACTGCATCCACATCATAATGGACCAGCAACAATATTTTCTGAAAGAAAAGAACTCAGTGTCATATGGCAGCGCAATATAAAGGCATTAACAGATACTTTGACAATTATATAATTAAAAAAATATTCACAATTAAAGTAATCTATAAAAAATGACATGACAAATGACACCTTTCACAATTCTCAGAAAATAAAAAATGGAGTCTCTAGTTAATATTCTTCTAAAATATGACAGCGTTAATAAACTTACATTTCCTATCAGCGGTTGATAAAACTCATTTTTTAGATTAGAGATATGCATTGTAATTAAAATTGCCAATAGTCTCGCAACCATTAAAATTTCGGGCGGCAAGTTCAGCTGCCATTTAGAATCAATCGTTGCCAATATACACATATTCAAATTCTTGCTATCTTTGTGTGAGACTCTATTTAAGTTTAAGAAGTCAAGTGAATTTAACTTAATCATATACTTATTGTACATAAATTTAATTGTAACAAATTTACAAAGTTTACCCTTGGTAGTTGCAATGGTCCGTTGAACTATAACATTTACCTTTGATAATCTATATGTATAATTCAACGGTTGGCAATTATAAGACTTGGTGCGAACAAAGACAAATCAAAACGCGGCATCGCTAGCGCGAGCCATGAGTGGTCCCCACCACTGGTGGGCCACCAGGCTTGACCGAACAAAACAAGCTCTTGGTTGGTTTGGTTTGGTGTACCTTAATGCCGCTTTGTGATTAAAGTGTAATTTGTGAGCTGAATTTACTGATTTTGTGTGTGACTAATTAAAACATTGAATAGTGCTTTAATTAATATAGTATCTCTGTAGTTCGTCATTATTTGATTTCAAGAAGACAGCAAGTTTTAACAGGGTTACCGTGAACACGTGTTTATTTTAGTTAGGTTATATGTGAACTGTAATAAGCAAAAGTACTTCAAAAGAAATCATGGAGGCATCTGGAGATGTCAATAGGGACACGTTATTGTTAGATTCCAATGATGCAAATGCTATCGATACGCGTGTTTTGAAAGAAACAGTTTCCAAAACTAATTCTACGAATTATGATGCTGAGAGTGGGATGTTAGATAATAGTACCTCCAAAACGAAGAATCTCTCGGATAATAATAGTAATTTACAGACTGAAGTAATTAATAATGGAGGTGAATCCACGTCGGACAGCGTGAAAGAGGCACAATTCTTAGAAACAGTAATTTCAAATGACCAGTTGGAAAGTAAAATGTCCAACGTTAAAGATGAAAATGATTTAAATCTGCCGGGAAATGTCAAAAATATTAACGATAGAAGACAACAGTCTGCAAATTCTGAGAATTCTGTTTTGGTTCAAGAGATGCAGTGTAATTTAGGAATTAATAGTGAGCAGCTACTTACCAAATCTGGAGCTACCAATCTAGAGGGATGCACTAGTGGAAACATTGATCATATTAGTAATTCTACTTCATGTTCTGGCATTGTGAAACAATATGTAAATGATGAGAAAATTGATGGGAGTGTCACCAAAGTCATCAGTGATGATAATAATGTTGAAGATATGGTCACTGAGGACCATCTAGAAGGTAATGAAACGGATATGGCAGGACATGTAATTGAAACTAAGGCACTTCCTGACAATAATTCAAACAATATTTTAGCTTGTAATGGAGACTCAGGAAAATCTAGAGATCAAGAAGAGATAAATGAAACCAAGGAGAAAAACGGTAATCCTAATAGTTCCATTGACAATAGTGAACCAATGGTCACAGATGATCCAGTAAAAAAGGCAAAGGTTGTAAATGAAATCCAGAGTGATTCTGAAGACAACACCTATATGAATAATGGCATGGAAGGAATTAGAAATGAAAGTGTTGTGGAAGCTATGAATAAGGACCAGTCATGGAAATCCGATAAAGTATATAAGAAAGATTTGCGTTCTTTGAAGTTACTGTGTGATTATGGTAGTGACTCTGATGGAAATGATAATGAAGTTACAATGAATGAAGAGGCAAGTAATTCCATCAAAACAATTGTAAGCAGTGTACCTTCTGTTAATCCATGTCCTGCTGTGAACCAGGAATATAGAGAGCCTGAAGTGCTTGCTGTGTCAGATTCCGAAGAATCGGATAGCTCTGATGAAACTTCATCCACTTCCTCAGCCACTTCAAGTAGCTCTTCAGATGAAACCGAGGAGGAATCAGAAGATGAGAGGTAATTAATTTGAGTACAATTTTTGGTTAAAAAAGGGTACAGGGTACACCCTTAGAGAATTGTGGAGGGGAAGAGGGCAGAGGAGGAGGAGTCTCTCTAAGCTGTCTCTCAAATTGCAGTACAAGCTCTGATAGAAATGAATAAAACTTATGGATAGGCTTGAGGACAGGATTTACATAGCTCGCCCTTCATAAGCATTGTCCCTGCCGTATTGTAATGCCAATTTACTTTCTAAGGCAAGTTTTCTCGCGTCGCTCGCCCAGATCCAAGTCACTGCGAGGCTCAGGCCTTCGGCCTTTCGTTCACTATAAGCATCCTTGAGTCTATCCACCCGCATAATTACCAATTCACTTCTATAAGAAAGCACTTTTCAAGAAGGCCTCCAGAATTCAAACTGCGCAGTTGCCGCCAGAACGGCGCGAAGTGTCGGTTTAAACAACTTCCGTTAAGTTGTGCCGTATACTACACTCAGCCCAATTTTTAATGGATTTGCAAATATTAGCAAGAGAGATCTGGTAAGTTGGATGATTATGGTGTCATGGAGATATTTATTTATATTTCATTCAGTGAATCAATGAACTGATTATTTTATGCAAATCTGCGTCTCTACCTGCCAAATTCAATGTTATATGTTTGTGAGAGCCCTCTGGCCTTTGCTCATGCAATTGGTTTACACCTCCCCTTGTACTACGGCACTGACGTTGAATAATTAATCTCCCTCACTTTTAAGAGAATTTCATTTGAAAGGAATAGTATTGTACTGGCCTGCATTTTCACTTGCACGTTTCCTACAACAAACATAACATTTGCACTACAAAACTTTTTCTCATAATAGCTTATGATTTGTTTTTTAACAAAATCCTTTTTATTATGTACCATTGTATTAAAATTTTTATAGTAGTCTGGTGGAAGCACAGGTGAAATAGCCTGATCCTCGCCACCAACGACGACATTTAATCACTTATTGTAACATTTAAACAATGCAAAATTTATTATTTTTGACATACTAATGCCAGCTTGAAGATTTAACATACTTTTTGGTAGTGGAGTGGGTTCATGAAAAACAATGAAGTCTTAGGAGATGGCAATGGGCTGGAGAAATGAGGATTCGCTAAAGTTAATTTCATTAATTAAAGTTTAAGTTCTTTTAAATATTTAAAGTTAAACTGACCTGTCGTTTTCCCCTAAACTTTTTAAATTACATTGGTTGAAAATTTTAGTTTTCTGTCATAAGTGTCATATCAAAAATAGTGATTCTCCAAGAGTCTGCTTTGCTTTCTAGTGTGTTATTCCAATTGTATATCCCAGAAATATTTAAGCAAAATTAAATGGACATATTCTGTTTTTTTGTAATGTTCCTTTTATAGCTATTAACCCTCTGTGTGGAATTCTTTGTGTTTATGTAAATAAATAGGTTTATATCTTCAAGGATATTAGGTGTATATCTTCATTGATTAGGTTTTTTCTGATATTGATGTATTTGTCTATTTTTTGTTGCAGTGTTGTAGTTGAAAGGAAGGCTAAAAAAGAAATTCCTAAAACTAAAGGAGAATTGGGTTTGGAGGATTTGCCTCCAATTGAAGATTTACATATTACTGTGCCAGAATCGGAATGTGTAGAAATTGGAAAAGTTTTAAGTATTGTTGATTCCTTAGGTAAGCCCATTAGAGTAATTTACAATAGAAAGTAATAAAATAATTTATCATTGTTATCATTTGACTTAACATTGGTTTACCTGCTTTGAATCTTTTGTTGTGGAGCCCAGTGGAATAAATGAATATGTTTGCATAGTGGTGATGGATAAAATACATAAGAATTGTTAAGGAATTAAAGAACGTGTGTTATAAATAAATTCTGTGAAATTAATTTTTAGGTTGAACATCCAGTGAAAGCTAAACAAAAAGTGTTGAAAAATATTTCAAGTGTATGTATTTCTGCATTTTTGACTTCCGCTTGTCAGTATATTTCACTAAAACATTATTTTATGAGATTTTATTTTCAGTTGCATTAACATAAAGGTCATTAGTGTCTATTTAACTTAAACTTATTTTTTGTTTAAGACTAAATATAGAAATATAAAATTAAAATAAAAAAATTTCATTTAAAAATTTATCTCAATGTAAATTACAAATTCCAAAGGTGCATCGCACCTAACTAGGAAACGTATAATGAAGTAACAATTGAGATATGTAGTGAGTATTATCGTGTTACTCAAAAATTATAATCCTTGTAGAATTCACGATCATGATTGAAAATTAGGAAATGTCATTCTCAGGATTTGGTTAGTCACTTGGTGACTAGAAAAATTGTACTGTTAATTTGCTAACATTTCGGAATATGTTTATTTCAGCCTCAGGGCTGGTGTTAAAAGCAGAAGACAACATCAATATACATTCGCTTCAACAAAATCTCGTAAACAACATTTTCTAATTCATAATGTGTGACTATTGCAATCAAATACAAAATAATACATCTGTCTGCCACTAACCTTACGAACTTCCCACAAGCCATTTGCTTTCTGTTCATCGCATATCTGCTGTTCCTAATCACCATAATTACCACAAGCCACTTTGTGATGACTGATGTGCACTTTATCCAACTAAATTCCAAAGTACGCTTCGAAACTGTTCCTACTTCAGACTTTCTCTATCCATTCATCAAATATCTCTGTAGATGTAGAAAGTCCCTTCATCTGCCACGAACCCATTTTAAGCTGTAAATGACAATGTTTGGTGGTATGAAAATTTGAAAATACTTGTATGTTAACAATTTTAAACATTATTTTCATTTTATTGTGGTATATGGTTGAACAAATAAATAAATACACATGTACATAATTTGCTTTTTTATGGCAATAGATTCCATTCCCTACTTGTGAGATGTTTAGCGTGTATGTTCACAATGTAGATGTAATGGTATGTAGGTATAATGTAGATATTTCATTTTTTCTCCAAGAATACATAGCATATTATACCTTAGTAAATGAAATTCATTAATTTGTTTTATTATCTGGTGACATTTTGCACTTGGAAGAATAAGATATTATGACTTGATGTTTTCCTTCTTGCAGTTGTTGTTCAATCCATAAAAGGATGCCCTTCTTTGGATTTAGATAGTGTGCTATTTCTTGACAATGGACACAAAGCTTTGGGGGAAGTCTTTGATGTCTTTGGTAAAGTTAGTGAGGCCTGTTATTGTGTGCGTTTCAACTCCAAAGACCATGCACTTTCAAAAGGAGTGGAAGTTGGGATGCCAGTGTTCTATGCTCCTAGGACAGAGTACTCAAAATACGTTTTCTTGGCAGATCTTACGAGGTAAGTTTGTGTAGTATTTGGGGTCTTATCCTTTTATACGCCCCTTCAAATAAATATACCATGTTCACAGTGAGATTGGAAAGCTATAGTTTGCAAGCTGTGAGATCTGTGAACAAAACTTGTCATAAAATGTGTTGATAGTTAAAATCTCACTGTTTAAAGTTTGACTTTATTGATGATTTTCATAAATTGGTGAGATTAATGAATTTCTTTTATAAAAAACATTTTTAACATCTGGCTTTTCAAATTTAAAAAAATTATTAAATTATCGACTATCGACACATTAGTGTTTGTTTCTAATAACAATACCTATTACATTAAAGGCCGGTTTCACCAACAGCCAAGTAAAATTGAGAGTAGTTAGCCGAGAGTAACAATTTACTCCAGATAGTAACTCTCGAGTAGAATATGAGCGTTTCAAATATTGTGATTCAAGAGACTGAGTGAGAGTAATGCTGGGAACCACTGCGGACCAACGCGAACCTTTGATGAATTTCTTATATTCTATAATTCATTTCAGTTTCAGAGTTCTTGGCGCTATTATCTTATGCAGTGTTATCGTGATTTGAGTTGGCATAGTTTATTTGTTGGTTTTTGTATCTTTATTTCTTAATATTCATTCTTCTCTGGAGACAAGTTACTATTTTGTTAGCAATGCAGAGAAATCAAATTTGCAGTGTGTTTACCAATGGCAATGCAAATAAATTTTCTATTACTCGGCAATGAAAATGTTTAGTTTTCCAAATGTTGCTGATCTCGTGTTTTTCTAAATATTATTATTATTATTATTATTATTATTATTATTATTATTATTATTTGTTTTATTTTCTAAACTTGTATTCAACTTTGAACAATGTATAGTTAAAATGTTAGAGGAAGGGATTCTGAAACTCAAGAAAACGTGCGCAAATGATGTCCCCCATTTGTCACATAGTTTTTACTAAATAAATAAATATTTCTTAGTACTTGTTGTCCCTGTAGTTATTATAAAAATATTACATAAAACCTTAATTTCGTATCTACATGGGTGAAAAATAAATGTACAAGTTCTCTAGAAGTATCTCTACGATGTATCTGATGAAGTTAACAGCTGATTTGGTCAAATATAGCCGTGTGACAAAATCTTGATCGTCATAATTAAAACCAACCCATTCTCTCTCACACCCTCTGTCTTTGCATTAGGGGATAATATTCCAAATCTTTGCTGGAATTATCTTCAAATACTATCATTCGTAATCATTGAGCCGTAACAACACTCCGGAGGTACATGCATGTTAAAAATTGAATTTACTCTATACTTTACCTGACAGATTTTCGCTGTGTAAAGTTACTCTCAAATTTACTCTTGTGTAAGCGATTTACACTCGAGTAAAGTGTTAGTGAAATGCTCCAAGAAGTTACTCTTGAGTGAACACGATTTACTCCAGAGTAAACTATTAATCTTTGTTTGGTGAAACCGGCCCTAAAGAATGGTAGATATATCTGTATAAAAGTGATGTATTAATTGTAGTTCATAATGTTAAGCTTTATTGCACAAGTACATGTTTTGAAAACAGGGAACATTAGGAATGAGCTTTCAAATTATGAATTCAATAAAGTGACATTATAAACATGTTTTGTACACAATTTTTTTGTGTAACAGCATTATAAATTGATAAAAGAATGAAACTTAATTTTGTGAAACATTCTTCTTGAGACGTCTTGTGAAATTAACGTCTGTGTGAAAAAAAAGTGGCTGTTCCATTTATATCTACCTCCCGATGATTCTCCCGCTGTGATTGACTGAATGTGTGAGGACACAGCATTCGTGCCACAAAATCTGACATGCCCAATTGTGAATGATTTCTTTCAGCAGAAAAGATCATTTATAATGCTGGTAAACAAAAAATTATATTATACTATTTATAAATATTACAAATGTTTTCAAACTCTAGTGCAAGTTCAGTTTGTGAGTGAATAGTCTACAAATTATCTGTAAGTCAAAGATGCTATAATAAACCAATTTGTAACAAATGCTTAAATTGATAAATTGTAACAATTTAAAAAAAAAAAAAAAGTACCTCAGAAACAATATCAATGATTCAGTCTCAAAATGAAATGTATTAGAAATAATGACTGGGATTCTGCTAAGCTGCTCCCCTCTCCTTGCTGTGTAAAGCTAGATTTGAAGTTGTGGAAGGCGAAGAGGGCCAAGTTTGGAATCTTGGGTACAAGATTTGTCTGGGACAGGCCTGCTCACTAGAGGATCATGAGACTAGCAGTAGTCCAATCTAGAAAGATGTACAAATATACAAGATGTGACAAATATTAACTTTTGTGTGATTTCTTTAAAGGATGAAAGGAAGTGATGCATCATGGGCGCATAATAATGAGCCTCCAACCAGATTTCTGGATTATTCCGATGATGAACAAGAGAGGCGAGCACGGAAAGGAAATAAACCTCCAGTTCGAAATGTATGTATAAAATTTGAAAATTACATGAGCAATTAAGAGGGATTCAAGTGTGCTTCAATCTGTGGAGGCTAAATGTTCTCTAATTGTAGGTTTCGGATTCTTACTTCATAGGATGTCATCAATCTTGTATAATTGGATTTGTTTTTCCCATATACTGTTTATAATTAATATGTGGGCAAAATCACATATAAATGAATGACATTGACATTTTTAATAGTAATCTTGTAGTGTTATAATATAAGCTCATTCTGCACAATTGTGAACTTCTTTAAGGGTCAAATTTCAACAAATAAATAAAATCGACTTCTAAGAATATGTTACAAATTTTTACTCGTGCTGTAAGGGTTAGTGTATGAAACTAAATGTCAATTTGAGGCTATTGAATAGGCAGGAATCTCTTATCAATTTATTTATTTACGGCACACAGTTACAATGTGCCACCAACATAATAATACCAAACATGTTTTTAAAAAATTCAAAGTTCATACTCCATATTGGTATGAATTGAAAATTTAAAATAGCATAAAATTTGTATTACAAAGTCAGACTTTATATATGTGTATTTACATATACTAGTTTAACAGATCACACCATTCAATTGTGAATACAGAAAAACTTCACTTATGTTTTTCAGGGGGTTGAAGAAAAAAATTGTATAAGTGCTGAAAACACAAATCTGAAATTCAGTATTATGAGAAAACCAAAAACTACATATATATTTACATTGGTGTATTGCTCGCAGGAACTGCTGCAAACATTAGTTTTGATTTATTTATTCAAAGAACAGTAAAAACTGTATGTGACATATGGGAGAAATGCAATCTGCACACATTTTCTTGAGCTCCAGAACCTATTACCAACTCTCTATCTATTTAGCGGTTTCTTACAGCCTTGGCAGTTTTCCGCATCCCAATTTCCATGCCTCTTTATCCCATTCATCGTATTCTTCCATTTCTCTTTTTTCCATGGCTTCAGTTATTGCCATGTTCTTCTCGGTCTTCCCCTGTATCTTCTTCGATTTGGTATCCACTCCCAAACTTTTTGAGGAAGTCTATCCGATTTCAACCTTCTCATATGTCCATACCATTTTAGTTGTCTCATTTCGATTGTATCGTTCAAGGTTGTTTGCACTTTCATTTTATTTCTTATTTTATCTAACAGAGAAAGTTTACAACATCTTCGCCAGAACATCGTTTCTGTTCATTGAAATTTGTCTTTCAATTTTTTTGATAGTGTCCAGACTTCTGCCCCATAGAGTGTGGTACTCTCTATGAATGAGCTATATATGCGTTTCTTTGTTTTCATTGACATAATTGAGTTCCATAGCACTGGGTTCAACTGTCTTGTCGCTATTTTTCGTCTTATATTTTTATTTTTCACATCCTGTTTGTCTCTACCATCTGCTGTTAGTGTGACTCCCAAATACTTATATTGTTTTACCTTTAATTATTCCTATACTAGTCTCTAAATCATGGGGCATACCTCCCACCATCATATATTCAGTTTTTTGTAAATTTATTTCCATCCCCCATTTTCCATATTCTTCTACTAATTTTCTGAACATATAAGTTACATCGTCTTCATCTTTAGCCATTATCACCTGGTCATCTGCAAATAGACTAAACAATGTTTCATCACCAATATTCACACCCATGCTTCTGCACTTTCTTTTCCATTCTTTTAGGGCTTTATCAATGTATATCTTAAACAGGGTTGGAGATAAACAGCAGCCTTGCCGTAATCCTTTATTTACTGGGAAGTTGTCTAATAGACATTTTCCCACTTTTACTTGAATTTTGTTATTTTTATAAAGTTGTTTGACTGCATTTATGTATGTTGTTGATATTCCTTTTTCTTCCATTGCCCCCCATACTTCTTTTACTTACATACCTATTACCAACATTTTAATTAAAAATTGTGGAATGATGAATAAAAGTTTTTAAAAAAGCGAAGTTAGCAACTTTTGACAGCGAGACATTTTTCTCCCAAGTTAAATAAAACTTCTTTCCATTGGTAAAGAAACTGCAGGGTTGATGTTTGTTTTTTATGTGCATGGACATGTGTGTGAACAAAATAGAATCACATCCAGCTCTATTTCTAGCAGAAAGTGAGCTTAACAAAACATGCACACAGTGATATATTTATGTCCAGAAACAAAATAAGGAGGCCATCTCTGATTTTGCTCAATGGATCAGAGAAACTAGACAAAAACCTGATTAAGAATGGAAGCTGAATTACATTACTTGCAACTTACAAGACACGCGGGCCAGGCATAGGCATGCCCAGAGGAAAAGATAGCACTGATATGTGCACTTCAGGCAACCATTCCTCTAGACCTATGAGTGTTGTGTTGACGCATATCACCTAGTGCTGATGACGTCAGCTGCGTTGATACCTTTGCACACGAGTCACTTAACGTGCATCGCAGGGTTTCCTAATGTGAAAGTGCACAGGAACTGTTTTGGTGACGTGTGGTGTGCCCACAGACGCTCAAGCTACAATTTAGGTCAAGATGACTCCTGTGAGACTACATGTGTTGGCAACAATGCTAGGGACACTGACCTAAATATCATTATAAATCTTGGATTCTCTCAAGTTTCAATATGTCCTATAAATTTTTCCAAATTTTACTGTGCAATGTTGGTGAATATTATGAAAAGCTTCACTGGACATCACTAGCATCCCTGTTTTTCTCATCCTGTTGTTTTACCCAAAATTCCAAAACAGATCGTTGAAATCAGTTGATATGCCCTGCTCAGCAATGAAATGAAACGACTTGAATACTGAATTCAGCACAAAAATTCTGTGGGCTCCTTTACTATAACTTTAATGATATCACTTATTGCTCACTTATCTCGTTATCATTTGAACGTTATGTAGTTCTAAAAGCACTTTCGTTATGAACAAATAAACGTAAAATGCATATCTGAAATAAATTTCTATAGGACTTCATTTGGAACTTTCTAATACACATACTCTTGAGGCTGAGTCTTCTCAGAAATTAGTTGTCAGTTTTCTTTACCTGAGATCAGATTGACCTCAATATTGCTACAGCATAAAATTCAACATTCATCATGCTAGTACAGTAAAGTCTGTCTAAGCCGGAATCTATCACGACACAAAAAGAATCCAGTTTAGAGAGGTAACGGTTTATGCTAGGTTGTTCATTTTATGACATTTGTGATATTGACGTTTCTGCCCTGAATGTATGACTTTAATATAATTATCAAAATTCATTAACATATTACATATTGTGGAAGCACGAAAAAATAAATATTAATCACTCTGCATTAACAGCTTCCAAGTTGAAAATACACACATTACTGGCTGTATTCCGTTTGCTTGTTGACTTTCAACGCACAATGCGTCTCTACTAAGTTCTTGCCTTTCTGGTACCCTCGCATGGTCTTAAATAATGCATATCTGGTAATTTAGACAGATTTTCAACGTCGGGCGGGGAGACGCCGAAATAAAAGCCATGCCCGTACACCTTCCCTCACTCAACTGGGAGAGGGAATTCTCTTTATAAATGATTATTTCAAATCTTGGAAAATAATATTTTGTCTTAGTATACAAAAACTGATGTGTGTTCACATACATTCTACAAAAACATTTGAACCCGTTCAAATTTGGGTGCAATTGCTTAAAATTTTGTTACAGCCTCAACATTTTTTTTTTACTAGAAATAATGTAACTATAATAAATAAAACAATAGAATAAATATAAGGCATTTTGGCTATGCCATATTTCCTGTGAAGTAAGTGTTATGATGTAAGATTGGCCAAGATACGGCAGAAAGTGGGTGTGGGTGTGTGTAATATCACCAACTCCGTTCATTACCTTTTGAGGTCAGTTGCTACACCAACATATTACTGTGAAGAAATAATGTTTGTTTAAAAAATATTACCACGTTTATTTCTAATTTGCAAACTTTTCACTTCTATCTTCCTTCATTGCGTGTGTAGATTTCAATGAGAAATCCACTCATGAATCTTGAATCATTTTAAGAGATTGCATAATATTCACTTATGGATCTTAGAACATATAACAGGTAACCTTTGCATGAATCTCACCACTTAACTTCTGATTTGTCTGTGACTGTATAATTTTTGCGTATTATATTTTTATCAACTACACATGTCACTTTCTTGCTGAGTATTGTGCCGAAAATGATGACATTTAGGTCATGTAGGAATGCAAAAATGACCACCTTTTAGGTCTTGGGCAATGTAGTTGGGATGGGCTGGTTATTCCTTGAGGTATGGAGTGGCTAGCGGGCCAGGAACGGTGTCAAAGAGCATGGAAGGGTGAGAGTAGTGTATAAATATATGTGCGATCCTAGAAACTCATTTAGTTCCAATTCATTTTAATTGAAAATTTTGCATCTTTTTCTTACAGGTTGAAAGGGAAGAGACTCAACCCCAGGCAAAGAGACACAACTGGAGAGGTGTCAAAAGTGAGGGGGGCAATGGTGCACCAACATCACCTCGTTCAAACCGTTCTTGGGCCACTCCATTCAACCGATATGTCAGCAATGCACCATCATCTCCTCCTCCGTCACCATGTCCCAGCCCTGGCCCTAAGCCACTGATTAGGCCTTCATCTTTTAGGAACTCTGGCCCTCCACTCCCCCATGGGCACCATTTTGAAAGATCCTTCAGGGCCCCATTGCATCACACCGGCCATGGTTTCCAACCTCCTATGCAGACTCCACCTCATAGAAATGATGGCCCTCCTCAACCCCACTTCCGTGATAAATCACCCTTGGGAGGCCCACCTCACTGGTATCGGCCCCAGTCTTCTTACATGCCCCCTCCTCCACAGTCACATTTCCACAACGCAGCTGCAGGAGCTCCTCCAATGTCTGGAACATCCTCGCAGATGCTTCCACCACAGTTTGGAAGAGCAGATATCAAGTACGACATGAATATTCCATCTCCGCAGCCACCTTACAGCCAAAACCAGAACGGGTCCGGTACAATGGATATGAATGATGGTGGTTACAGGCAGGCGAACCTGATGAGGCCTACATCTATTCCAAATCCCGGTTTGTTTGCTGTGGAGCCCAGCAATGGCTTCAAAGTGGAAGATCCACCTTCCTTCCCTCCGAGTGAATTTCCACCAATGAGACAGGATTTTCATGGTTCTTATGGAGGAGGACCTCAGGGCGCCTTTGGAGGTCAGCAGCCTGTTTTTATGAACCCGAATGTTCCACCACCACCTTCTGCATCACATCAATCACCTCCATCTCGACATCCACACTCGGGGTGGTGAACATGCCCCAAGGTTGGGCAGATAGATAACAAAAGACCAGTAAATTTCAAAATGGTAATTTGAAGGTTTTTAGTTTTTGTCTTTGTATTTTTCTGTTACTAGAGTGCATGTGGAAGTAACTTCAATCTCTCTAAATGAAATGCAAATTTGAAAGTAAAACTTTTTAATACCAATTTCCTAATTCTCTGTAAATATTTTCTTTTGAATCAGGGGTCTACAGTTGGATATGCAGTGGAACCTAACTTTATATTCTTTTCAGATATCTGGGAAGTGTAAAGGGACAAATATTAAAAGCATTCTTGGGCTAAAATAGTGTTCAGGAAATGTTGCTTGGGCCACTGTTCACACCATTTAATTTCATGCTTTCATTTAAAAAATCAAAAATATTTATCTGCATTTGTGCTTTCTGAATTCCATTATTACATGGTATACATTTGAGTTTTTATTGGGGGGGGGGGGAGTTCCATCCCTGTTTTGCATTGATCTTAGTGCAATCTGTTTTACATAACCTTGTTAAATATAGAGACAGGGTGTTGAAGTTTCCTTTGCTAATTGAACATTTGTTCCACATTCAAATCCACACAATGCAGCATTTCTATAATTTATTTCTGTCCTTTCCTGTCATGTCACCTTCAGGGATCTTTTGTCACTTTTCCAGAACACTGTTGTAACATTAAAAAAAATCCAAGTTTGCAATTGGGTTTTAGTGTTGTTGTTTTTCTCAAATGTGGAATGTCACTATCATGGACATTATACCAATCACTGCTTGATGCAAAATGTGAATTGCTATTTCATGGTTGGAAATGTCTGTTTGCTTTTAAGGAACAATTTCCAAAATCTCAGAAATGTGTAAAATCCATTTTCATAAATAAAAAAACCAAAAGACCTCAAACAATTTTTTAATATAACTCTAATATTATCAATTAATGGGAAGAACATTAATTTCTGGGGAATATTAAAAAGTTCTCCTTTGTTTAAATCAGGTTTTTTGTGTTACAACAGTATTCCAAACGTGTCAGTTTGAAGCATTACTCAATAAAATGGATTGGTAAGAGTGACGTCTAAAGACTCAAATAATTAATTTAAAAATCAATGTTGCTTACTGCAGTAAAACATAATAAAAGAGTTTGGTTTTGGGCGAGTTGAAAAAGGCAGTGTGTGAAATGTAATAAGAGCCTAAGATGGGACCAATGAAAAGTGATGGATGTGTGAGGAAAATGTGAATTCAAATCACATTAAAATAATGCTGTTCTGTAAAGGTGTTCTTTTACACTGTTGTAAATTCCACCTTTTCTTTTTATTATGAAAATGTTTATTTTCCCTGTATAAGTAGGGTCATATGGGAGACATTTTGCTAAGGAAATTCTCTCTCTGGAAGGAATTGGATCTCTGATATACTACTAGGCTGTAGGCAAACTAAATAAAATGAAAATTACTGGCAGCAAAACAAAATTTATCTGTACATACATGTTATTGTATTGTTCATTACATTTTGTAAATAAAAAGATATATGTCAGTTATTTCTTTTACAAGATTACTTGCTTCTTTTCTTCCTTGTTTTGCTCAGAGTTTACATTTTTTTTACCGAGGGTACATGGCATTGATATTCTTCTGAAGGAATTAAGTAATTACAAAACAGGCATGTCACATACTACTTTTTTGAATATTTTTTTTTCTTAATTAACATTTTTTTTACTTTTAATTAAATTAAGCCTTAATCTTAAATGTAACTAAAATTATTCTGTATTTACTTGGCTGTCTGAGTGAAGCTGCGTCCATGGCGAAGGTGCCGACTTTTCGGCATTACGCCCTGAGCAAGGTCACAGAATGGCAACCGAAACTTCGGTATCTTCGCCATTGACGCGGCGTTACCCGGACAGCCAAGTAAATAGTAACTCCGGCCGCGGAAGACTACGCTCTCACAAGATTATTCCGTTTTTGTCACTTATTACTCACTCTACATACAATATCTTTGTAGAGGAAAAAATCACACACTTTTCTCCATGTCACACTGCACAATAATACACATTAAATATTGGTTCTTTTAACTTTCTTGTCATATTTTATGAGAAGAAAAAGCATAGTAGGCCAGAAAACACTGTTTTTTGACAGAATAACTGGCAGTCCCTGGTAACAAAACCTTGAATAATCTTGTTTGCATATATAATATTCTTGTTTGAATTGATCCTATAATTTTGTAGGCCTACGCAAAGTTCTTAAATGCCTTTCAGATGGATGGATCACTGGATGATGAGCACATTGATGCAGTCATTGCCTTAAAAGATGTGTATGAAGAAATTGTAAAAGTACTTGCCATCAATGTGAACAAACAAGCAGAAACCAAAAATGAAGCAATGAGTTTATTGACAAATCTGCCAAGTCGTGAAAGTTATTTTGCAGAAGATTTGGGCTTCAAATCTGAAACAGCTTTATTCAATTACAATGTGAAACATTAAGTTTACACATTACATATAGATTACTAGCACTTTAAAAATTTGTAAATGAAATGCAAGACATGACATTTATAAAACTGATGCAAAATTGAAACTTCTTGTTTAATTAAGGAGAAACAAATTATTTAAAAAGAGACATTCACCACAACTGATCATTTAATTAGTTAGATTATATAAAATACACATTCTCATCTAACAATTTCGTTTTTTTATAAATCTAATATATCTTGAATTAAGCAAAATTCAAAACATTTTCAATTTTTTGTAATAATGTGTTAAATGGATAATAATAAAAAAATTAGAACTGGAATGCATTCTATTCAAACATTTATTGGTCAGATAAAAATCCAGACATCAATGCTTGATTGCCAACTTATATGAAATTCTGAATTTGGATCAACTTTCTGAGACCTTGCCTAATGTTTAAATTGCTCTACGATTTTGTCGTTCCTTGATGGAGACCAACTACGGATGAGTGCCCTTTTGCTAAATTGAAATATATAAGAAATGATCACAGAAATAAAATGTATAATATTAGTTGAAATAATGTGGTGC